TTGGAAGTTACGTCATCAGTATGTCGACGTGGCTGAGGCACTAATGATTCAGAAACATTTCAGCTCATGACTTGTAACTTGATCTGACTTGGAAAACCCGTGACTTGCCCAGCTCTGGTTGGAGGACTAGATAAGAGCTTTATGATCACTTGTCACATGAAAATTTAAGGCTTGGAGCGTGAGAGGCATCCCAGAAACAAAAGCAAAGTCAATCTTTCTATTTGAACGAAGAGAAGTGGAAGAGTCGGGTAGAACAGGAGCAAGAAAAAGCGAATCGGACCATTTACAAAGATGCTCTGCTCTCTCTTTATCCGCTTTATCGTCGAAATCGACGTTAAAATCACCCAACACTTATCAACCTTAAACTGTGATAAATCATCCCATTTTCATGTCTTACTCTTAGGTGTATACAGTCCAATAATACGAAGGGGTTCTTCTAGCTTAACATCCACCACACATACGTTAGGTAGATCACAACGAACACGCGAACAATGGAAAGAGGAACGAAAAACTAAGACTATCCCACCCCAACTGTTTTCGCCTTTCTGGTAAAAAAACTTAACTTCTGTCCTTATCAACTGCTCTAATTTCTAAGAGAATCATACAATCTACTTTACCTTTTTCGAATAAAAGAAGTACTTCATGCCAACGTACATCAAGTCCTCTGACGTTAAATAAGAGCACATTCAAGTTAGAAAGAAGAGTCGAAGAGGGACTAGAAACCTCAAGAGCTCTCCAAGAAGAGAAACACGTAGACAGGGTAGGGAAGGAGTACCACTCGTTAGAGATATCTGACAATAAAGAAAAGTCAAAATTTGACAAAATAGGAACAGTTAAAGACAAGGCATAGTCGATATCAAATTTTCTTTTTTTCGAAGGCATAACACGAAAAAATTCTGGGGCAAAAGGAGATAGTCTCATCACATCAGGATATTGAGTCATATGACGTTTTGATTATCATCACTCTGAGTTGTCTTACCTTCTTGTTGTTGATGAGAATGCCTTAGTTTTAATAAATTTATGTTTTTTATCTTCATTGTCTGTGTGTCTCCTCACCCATTTGGTAAACTCATTTGCAAGTTTATCACAATAAGCTGTTAATGATGGGACTAATATTGATGAATCTTCGACCATATTTTGCTCAATTAATGATGGGACAATTTCTAAAACAAGTTGGCAAACAGGAGTAACAAATTGACTAACAAATTCTTGTTGAAATGTTACATCAATCTGTTGTATTTCCATTAATTGTTTTTGTTTATTTAATACTTTTTTAAATCGTTCGTTCATGTCGATAATTCGATTTAAGTTATCGTCAAGCTGTTTCATTCTATCTTCTAAAGTTGATAAACGATCGTTGAAGTGATTCGAACGACGATTAACAAACAATGGGAATTCACTCTCGGTTACTTGAAAATATCCCTGTTTATTTTGATAATTGTTGTTATTACTCGTTGTTGCTATTGTTGTTAATAATGATTTGGTTAGTGCTGAACGATAACTTTTTATCAAAGGGCAACGAATGTCATTTGATTCATGATCATCTTTGCAACGTACACAATTTTGTCGCTTATTACATTGAAGTAGATGTTGTTTAATATCTGTTACTTCTTCCCCACAAGTTTTACATACATCTAATTGATGTGTGCAAGAACTACGAAAATGACCGATTTCAAAATATTTTGAACATAGTAAAACTTTAACTGGGCTCACATATTCCATCAATGAATAGCGAACATTATTAACATAAATAAACTTCTTGCGTAGAAGATCATTCATTGTCTTTGGGTTACTAATATCTAAACGAACTAATGTTGTTGGTTGCTTTTCTTTGTTTATGATTCTAAATGCGTTGATAACATCCAAATGATCCACTTGTATATCTCTTAACAAATCGTCAGCACTAAGATCAATTGGTACATTACGTAGAACAATGGAAAATTGTGGAGGTAGATGTTTTGGTGAAACCCGAGTAAATTTCAAAGTACCTAACGTTTGTGGCCAAGTTTTTTCATCGAATAGTGCCGCAAACGACTCTCGATTTTTAACAAACAATAACAAATCATGTTTTAATTTCAATCGATAACCGTCAAATTCGATATTAATATTATTAATATTTTTATAATGTTGTTCAAGATCTTGGATAATAACATTTTCTGTAACATTCTGATTAAATTTAATAATGAAAGGTGGAAAAGCATATCTTGTTTCAGCAAATCTACGAGCTTGTTGTGATATACCATTGATGATAACGTTTGAGCGAATATTATTTGACCGATGATTGGATATATGTAAATAAGACGATGTTGAATCAGTAACACTATCTGTATTTGTTGATGTAGTCTGACTCTGGACAGTGTACGATGAAGAAGAATCGGTCTCAGATCCAGTAGTTGTCTGATGATGGATCTTCGTTTTTTTATTATTGCGAATCGGGATAAAATCATTATCAGAATTACCTTCATCCACATTTTGATAAGTATTTTGAAACTGTTGTTGTTTAGGTTGATGAGATAAAGAAGGATCAAATTGTTGTTGCTGACTAGGGATCACAATCTGATTGTTATTTTGACATGGAGAAACTATTCAGTTAATTGAATGAGGAAAGGGTCGAGCAGCTAGACGATTAGCATTATTAACCGTTTGCATTTGCTGCTGCGATCTGAGTTGAGGATTATCCACCATATGTGAAACCACTTGGTGAACTTGTTGAGGAAAATTACTGCTCATTAAGGGTAGTTTTGAACAGTGGAAATTTTACACGGGAATTTATTGTGATGATACTTGAAGGTAGCAATGCTCATAAGGAAAACCACCATTCATACCACATGAATGAGATATGATTCGACCAGATTGTGAATCAAAACCAGAATGATATAATACTTGGTTTGATTGATGCATCATTGCCGAGGCCGGGCCCTTAGGATTGGTCATAACTCCGAAAATTGCTGGAGAATTCGATCACGTTTTAAGGAAAACACGTGGTCGATAAGAAAGAAGGAAGAAAAATACCAGTGTAAATATATATATATGTAAATAGAATTCTAGGACAGAAGAAGTAACACGTCTTTACTTGACCACGTTAGAAAGGAGAAAAGTAAAATAGAACTAGTTTCATGCGCTTACTTTCAACAATAGGTAACATGAAACACAGTGCAAGATATATCAGAGAAATCATTATGTTAAAGTTTAATACAAATCAAATGGATAGTGATTAATTTCTGTTTCTAACTACATGTATATATCGAGGCTTCTTAATTGAGATCACTTTTTATAATTAAAGAAATAAAGCTGATCTCAGGTCGGACATGCCATATTCTATCAATTTTGAAAAATGATCTCAGTTTGGAAAATGAGCTTGTAGTAAAACATGGATTCGTAAACTGTATATATAATATAAATTATATATACTAGATAGAGTGAAATGAAGGCTTTATACAGTGCAACAATCAACTCTTATAAATGTATGAAAAGTTTCTAAGTCCAAAAAACATTTTAGTTCTACTTGTGTAGGTTATGGCACCGAATCTAGCCTTGTGTTTGAAAAAAGAACGCGTATTGATCAATCTCTCATATCGGGAGGCTATCCGTGATTATTATTTCTGTAAATCTTCTACCTTATATGACCACACATATAATTTTGTTTGGCACCAATCAATATAGCATCATTATGTATTGATCTTGCTTTTCTGGGACATGTACTTCTTTGTTGACGTTGTTCTTGTTCATATCGTACCATTACAGACTCTTCTGACCCCTTAATATAATTCATCCACGCCCATAGATTAGTGTATGTGTTTCACATTGAGAATTTAACTGAGCGTGATACATGATTATTCGTACGTGGTCTTACACCAATCAAATCAAAAATGATTCCAAAAATCTGCTTCGGAATCTACAAGCTATAAAGCCTTCACTTCACTCTATCTAGTATATATAATTTATATTATATACAGTTTATGAATCCATATTTTAATAAAATAGGACACTTTTCAAAATTGATAGAATATGCCATTTCCAAACTGAGATCAGCTTTATTTTTTTAATTATATAAAAAGTGATCTAAATTAAGAATGAGCCGTATATATACTTCATTTAGAACAATTCAGCATTTTTAGCACTTTTTAATTAGTCTATTTAAAAAAAGCTTATTAATTAATAATAATCTATATTCTACTTTTTTTCAATACAGTCTATTAATTAGAATAATCTGTATTCTAGTTCTAGTTTTATTTTCGACAAAACAGGAAATTAACAGATTCGAAACAAATTCGAGAACACTAGAAAAAAAAATTTTCGACGAAACAGGAATATTAATTAAGCTTTCCACGAAACGGGAACTAACCCTATGCCTCTATTCTGAGATTATTCGTGTATTCCACTGTTACACAACATTTCATTTTAGAATAATTTTTATACAGATGTATACAGAAACTTTCTTTTCTAATTGATTTAATTACTTCTTCAAAGAGAATTAACTGCTATGTGTAGGTGTATGTAAGTATTTTATCTAATTATGACTCATAATCAAGCAAAGACACTAGCACAGAAAGACAATTTATGTGATTCGGATTCTCAGATAGAAATGATACGGCAAAGTATAGATGAACGAAGAGGAACAATATTTAAACGCACTTTAACAAATCAAAGTGTGTAATTTGAAAAAGAGAGTGATTCAAATTTTGAACTTAATAACATGAACGACGATGGTGAATGGACAACAGTCCAACTGGAACCACAAAGAAAAAAAACACGTCGGGAACATGAAAATGAGCAAAAAGAAGTCGTCTATATCAACTGAAATATCAATCGATGATGTTAAAAATGAATTTTCAACAAAATATTTATCTATATTTGTTGCTGAAGAGCTATTGGGCAGTAGAAAAGATCGTACCACAGTGGGCATTTTTTGCTAGAGCAAGCGGACTTTAGCTTTATGAGCGAACTAAAATTTCTTGAACCATTTTTTTATAGGTTTTTCATGATCCTCTTTCTAATGGCATAAGAGTTGGGTTTTG